AAGCTGGACGGTTTCCAATACAAGTGCATGAAGAGGATTTTAAGAATAAGGTGGCCTCAGACCATCTCCCACCAACAAATTCAGGAGAACACAGGAGTGAACAGAACGAGCGATGAAATCAGACGTAGAAGACGGAATTGGATTGGACATATAATGAGGAAAGACAAAGAGGAACATTGCGTCACAGCTCTGGAATGGAAGCCAGAAGGGAAAAGAAGACCTGGTCGACCCAAAACAACATTGAGGAGAATGATTGAAGATGAAAGGAAAACAGCTGGGTGGCAATCATGAGCGAATGTCAGAAACCTCGCAGCAAACCGTAATGGTTGGAAAGAGAATGTCAAAGCTTTATGTGCCCTATGGCATAAAGAGATATAGGATATAGGATAGGATTTTCATTCACAGTCAAAAAATAGCTTACAATTAATTACCGTTTGTCAAGACAGCTCTCGAATTTTACTGTAGTGTTTTACGTCGATTTTTGCTCATTTCAATTTACATGCATTTAAGTAGTGAACGTGACAATTTTACTCTTCATGAAAACGTTTACAACTTGATACTTTTGTTTTCCTCGCAAAGGTACGTAACTAGCCTTCGAACAGGCTCCTGGTGAGCCCGAACGAAGCTCCGTTTCGATCGCTTTGCTCTCCGATTCTTGTTTCGCGCTCGCCGAAATTTTTTCCGTCCTCGCCGGGAGCCTATTCGCAGGCTACAATAGAATGCCTACAGGTTCCCTCGCTTCGTTCGGGCTCACCGGAAGCCTGTTCGCAGGCTAGATGAAGAAATGAAAGAGGAACCATTTGCTTTATTTACATTTGTGTTATAAAACGCAAATTTTCTTTTGACCGATAAACAAGAACTAATCTAATTATCAAATTGTCACGGAACAGCACGTTCCGGTGCCACCTTTGGCTTTAACAATAAAACCACCTATATTTAAAATACACGCTGATATCGATTAATACAACTGAGAAGCGTTTCAACGAGAGGTATTGAAAGTAAACAGCGCTAATTACTTGACCGAGATTATATCCTTCATCGATGAACGAGTCTCCTCAGAGACTGATAAACCATATGCTTGCAGTAGGTACCACGGAGTCTGCAGCAATATTTCAGTAGTGTCCTGGGTTTTTTGTACAATTCGACAAGTTTTAATGCCAGTTACTCGGGAGAGTTTCGGCTGCGGGTATTCTTGTATCGTGCTAACGATGCTAGAACGTATGCGTATGACTTATTAGGGTTCTACCACAAGGAGAAGCACTCAACGTTAGTATGTGATCTTGTATGAAATCTACCTCTCACCTAATACGTAGTTGACACTAACGCTTATTAATGTGCGCATGCGTTTAGGGCAAATATTGGTTTTGTTCTAAAGAGAAAAGTACCACAAGGAGAGCAAGGGGCTTTAAATAAATAAAATAGAATAAATAGCTTTTGGGAAGTAACGAGGTACATGCACCACCCATTTTACGTAGTGCTCACAAATACCTACCCCGTCCTACCCCCCTTACTGCAAGCCTAATAAATGAATTGAAATTAATTAATTATACAAACATTAAAGTTTACACCTTATTGCCATAGTGCCATAGGGCCATAGTGCCATAGTGCCATAGTGCCATAGTGCCATAGTGCCATAGTGCCATAGTTCTTTATTGCCATAGTGCTTTAGCGACGTCAACCCCCAAACCAACCCGATAGTGCACTCTGCACTAAAAAAGGCGTTTAGAAATTGTCTTTTGCCTGGAAACTTGTACAAATACTTAAGTAACTTTTTCGGTAAGGTTGTCTGTTTATATTGTTAGTCCTTCAGTTTTGAGTCTGAATAATCTCAATCTACACAAAACCTAAGCAGTGAAAACCATTTTTATATGATTAAAATTAATCCTTTGATTAACTTTTAATCCTGGGTTAGCGTTAACCGGCTTTCGAGTTCCTCGAACAACCCAGCCCAGGATAGATATTTTGCATTAATCATTCTCACCACATGTACTTATTTCTATAGAGCGTGTGACCTGACTGTAAGTAACTCAAGTCGTTTTATCTGTCCCCTGCACCAGCTTGCTCTGCGAACACATTTGTGGTAAAAATAGACAACCGAAATAAAGCGAGTAAGCGAGTATGATCAAGTCTCCCCCAGTCCCCAGCACAAACTTATGTTTTTCCGCAGGTTTACTTTTCAAGTTTGTGGATTTCAGTTTCGCTCACAGCTTCGAAAACGCTATCCTCTGACAGCATGATTCCCAGGTGTTTCTGATGACGGCACCAAGTTTCAACTTCTGTTTTCATTTATTTGCGAAGAAAACCCATACATACTACACGCTTTATTTATTCTAGATTTTAATTAGCTACCACTATGAAAAAGTAAATTACATGTAAGAAAGAAAGATGCGTCTAGAAAAGGAAGTTAAGAGGTTATCCCTATGTG